TGCCCCGCGCCGGCCGCGCAGCCGCCTCCTGCCTCCTCCCCGCCCCGGGAAGCACCGAGTGGGCTGCAGGGCCCTCGTATTTATACTTCCTTCCCGGCTTTGACATAAGAGGTTTATTTTTGATCTCTCACTATTCCCGTTTCCCCTCCCCTGGGACCAGAGAGAGAAACTGAAAAGGGGGAGAGAGGGGGGAAAGTTTGGATGAAATGTAAAACCAAGCAGGAGTCTGGGAGACCCGCCCCCCCAACGTGTGGACTCCAGCTTTCCCCTTCGCGGTACCCACATTAACTCCTACGATGCTGGACTGGCCCCTTGGGCACAGGCCTTGGGGAGACCCTGGCCGCTCCCTCCCGGGGACCAAGTACACAGGGCACATCCTCCAACGCGCCGCCGTCCTGGTTGGTCCCAGCAGTGTTCCAGTCCCTGCGGGTCACCCGGAGGTCTGGCAGTGGCAGAACACAGGGCTCAGCTTGTAACTGCAAAGCACAAGAGGTAAGGTCACGCTAAAATCGCGCTTTCCACCTAAACTCACCGTCCTAGCCTCCCACTGTTCTACTCCAAACCCGAGATCAGCAAAAACAAACAAAAAAGCCCCCTGGTGACCAAGGACTCTGCTAGGCTGTCTGGGAGGGCTGTAAGCACTGGCAGTGGGGCTGGGACACAGCAGTCACCTTCCACTCGGACAGTGGGGGAAGGGGGATGCAGGCAAGCATTTCCCCAGGCTGGAAGCAGTCTCTGGAAACCCTCTTCTCTGCTGAAATAGTCTGGGGGACAAGCCCCCTTCACAGCGGTGCCCAGCTCCAGGTCCAAACGCTTCTGGGGCTGATTGGTTCTGTCCCACTCTGAGCCCAGTTAAAGCAGACACGTCTCTGAGCCCGCCCAGCTGTGTCTGCGCCCACCTCACTGTCCAGTCTGGGTCAGGTTCAGGGTCCTGCTCACTAAGGCCCCCTGGACTGGTCCTTTACCCTTTCTGAGTTGCCTCCAGCACCCCCAGCCCTACCCCCAGGTATCCTGCTCTCTGCTTATGCCGGGCCGCTCAGGGCGAGGTCACTTCTGCTTCTGTGACTATGGAGGGTCAGCAGC